GTATGCATGTCTTATTTTATCTGATACCGTTTACTTGTAGCACAACGACGAAAACAACCCGTATAAAGTTTAATATTAGTTTCTAATTATTCAAGAAACAATTAAACTTTACCAAATATAACAAATTAATGTTTTGTAAACATTAACTTATTGTATTCAAACGAACAAAAAATACGCGTTACTTTCCGAACCTTGCAAGGATTTATATTGTCTAAGACACAACCTTACTTACAAAATTTGCAAATAAGGTATGTAAATATATAATCAAGTCGACTTTCTTTTTTTTTAATTCTATTCTCTTTTCTAAAGAGAAAAAGAATTAAAAGCGAGGGACACACAAAAAAACCCAACTCAAACACAATTGCAGAAACAAAAATGTACAAAAAAAAATACGACGTCAGCTGGATTCGATCTCTGTATGTTTGGGATGACAAGCAAACGCGCTAACCACTGCGCTGTCGGGGAATTGGTATGCGAAGATAGTAAATAGCAGTACAGTATATTAACACCTTTTGCAACGGGTTGAAGAAATAAGTTTTATACAATGTTATTTTTCTTTCATGTATCGTAAGTTACAAAGTATTTTGTATGTATAAAAGTTTTGAAAAGTCTATTTATCAAAAATTCTTGAACAAAAATTTACTTAAGAAAAGGTCTACTCAAAAATCTATAGAAATGCTAATTACAGAAAATGACTAAGTTTTCTTCAAAAATCTATATGCAAAAATAAAACAAAAGTTGTTACCTTTTATTAAAATATCCTATATAAAAATAATCCAAGTCAAGAACACAATATCACATAATTATTACATCCACTTTCACACTAACATATATAAACAAAACTAAATAAGAAAAACACACTTTCACTTGAAGAGAAAGTTTAAGAGTCCGTGGCACAAATCCTTTGACGATGAGAAGTGATCCTGCGTTGAGGCTAGCCTTCCCGGTACGTAATTATGGTACTCGACGTCTCGAGTTAGATTCCATGGAATAATTAAGTAAGGGCCCTATCAATAACGAAGGAGTTTGCACGCACGTGACAATGTTTACAATATACACAATTATGGACAGGGTATCCAAAAATCTGGTGACGTCAATAATCACATGGTTTTAAAAACCAATAGAATGACTAGAATCTCGGCGGGAAGAAGGTAACTAGGTCATATGTAAATGCCGCACGAGTAAAATCCAATTAAAATCCTTCTTTGCACAAATGAATTTATCTTACACTAGATAATCCAGTACACAGAATACTATTCACGTATGTAAGATCAAATGCATCAAACATTTGGAAAACAATAATAAATCATCTGTTGGTCAAGTCTTATCAACTGATCTCTTGTAGATGTTACAGTTGAAACACGTTGGGCGCCATTGTCGACGTAGCCCAGTCGGCAGTTATTTGTATTACAGGTGGGGTAATAGACAGACACAACAAATGCAAATCTGAAATATCCAAGATATTTATTAAACAATATATAAACACAATATAAATATATTACACAACTTTAACATGTAATGGTCAGATATGAAGTGCCATTAACAATTATAAGATAAGGTTGAATGAGTGATACAGGAATGTAATAACTACATGTACAATTTCAGGTAAGTATTGTAAATATTCCAGTTAAGTATTGTGAATATATCTCTCTGTTATCTATCAAAAACCTCTATATATTAACCAATAATGACATTCTGTAATAATTTAATAATTTAAGTAATAAGTCAGAGATTACTAACCTGAAATATCCAAGATATTTATTAAACAATATATAAACACAATATAAATATATTACACAACTTTAACATGTAATGGTCAGATATGAAGTGCAATGGAGCATCACAAAACATACCCGAACATAACATATCAAGTTTACGGGTGACAGGTTACTAACAATGACAGAGAAGAATAATAGAAATATAGAGAGAGATATAACGGTATAGGATCAGGGGTCAAATAATATATAACACATTAAGATACAGTTAATATACTTTATTTGAAATGTATAACAAAACATAAGGCAATGTACATTTTATATAAATTTCTATCCTGCGACATTGTCGCTGTCAAATTCATATGACTGAAAATCAATTAAACGGAATAAATGCTACTAATGTGGTTTAATACGAACAAAAAACATGTGTACATTATTTCAGGCCAATGTCAGAGGAATCTATTTGCGTTACAACATTTTCAAAAGCATATGAGAGATTTCAAAGTAACCAGATGTACAAGTTGTGATCCGTTCTTTGCCTTCAAATGTTCTGTGAATGTAATAGAATGTTTTGCATGATGGGACATTGGTATTTTATATGTTTTGATAGATATATTCACCCAAAATTATTTCCTGTCATTGATCTGGATAACTAATAGTTCCTTATAATTGCAATTTCCCTATGTAAAGCAGATTACCATATTCATAGTTATACGTGGCTCATCTAGACTTTTACCATGAAGGTAGAGATAAAGGCATACTCAGTAAAATAATTGGAATTACCGTCAAAGAGGGTCAGCACCTGTACCAACACCTGCTGTTGTGAGCATAAATAAAAGATGAAAGAATTAAATTTATTGAGTATGTTTATGAAAGTGCAAACAAATAATTCAGACCCTCCTTTAATGTAAAATATGCGTAAATAGACTAAGAACATGTAAAGTTTTTCAGATTTTTTTAACTTTTTATATTTGTTACAGAATAGCAACTAAAGTGCTATAAGATTGTTTGACAAAACATGCAGGAACCTTTTTGAAAAGTCAAATATAAAACGATATCATAGTTCTGTTATATCTTCAAAACATTAGAATGAGCCAAAAACCCTATAACCATTTGCATTCGAGATTACTAATGTCCTAAAAATTATGGAGGCTGATTTCTTCTATTTCGTGTCTTCGTGTCGTCGTCCCTCAAAACTCGAAGGCGAAGACACGAAAACAGGAAAATATGTTAACTAATTATGTCTTAGCCATCGACTTTTGAGTGCGCCGACACAAAAAAAAAGATATATTTTAAGCGAAATAAAAATCGTGTTGGCGGGTAGAAATCTTTGTATCGGCGCCCTATATTTGTCGTATTTTCGTGTCTTCGCCTCAAAATGCGGAAGTCGAAGACACGATAATTGGGCAATTTATCGATTCTTCGTGTTTTTGCATGTAAAAAGTCGAAGGCACAAAATGGCAGAAATCAACCACCATATAGAATAGGCATAAGAATGACATAACTCATAGTTGTTGAATTTAAAAATCTCATTTTCATACATCTAGATAATGTCATTAAATAATGTGTTCATGATGTTAACTTTCATTATGCTTTAAGTCAGCAGGAGTCATCTCAAAATGTATCCATATGTTCAGTTTACATCGGCATAAGTGTGGGGTATTTCTGATCCATGATCCATATCTTCATATTCTATTGGGCTGAAAGACAGGCATACATGTGAATTCATTGATTTACATAATGTAATTATATTGAATTAAATTACATTAAAGTGCACTTAATAATACGTTATACCTTAAGATGCCGGTGAAAGTTTTTTTTAGCCTTGTTGCACCATTCTTTTACTCATAGGACATCTTTTTTTCTGAATAAAATGAATCTAATAATCAATTTGTGTGTATTGAAACCTTTAATCTTTAATGACGCATTCACATTTTATTAGCAGTATGGTGCAGTCCTAAACTTTTATTTTGGTTTTTACCTTTCGAGTACATTATCATGTGTGAAAGGCTTTTTAAACACTATGTTCCTCTAAATTTGGAATAAATTTGCAATTTGTAGGCTTTCTAATTACCTTATTGGTGATTCACTGGAACTCACTGAAACAATTCATCAAATATATCAATATTACACAATATGTTTGCGGCATAAAACTATTTACGTCAATTAACAAAAATTACTTCTGATCTCAGTGCAGTCTCAGCATACTTATATCAATTTTATATTAGCATGTAAATAGAGAAATAAATTACTTTTTTGTCTAATATTATGGTCAATTAATGTATTGTTTCTGTTCAAATGCTTTGCAAGTAGGTACGAGGGCCTTCCGTAGAAATACAATCAACATTGCTATATTTTTAATAATTATACAGATATGTATATTCTTAATTTAATATTGATTATAATTTATATAACCCTTATCATGCCAACACCGACATATCCCGGATTTTATGTCCTTACCACAGCTGCCAACACCGAGATATCACGGATTTGTTAGTAATCAAATACACAACGGGGAATACACTAATCAGCACTGTCATACTGATAAGAAATAATAACTGCAGGAGAAATTATCTTAAATGTTTCTATAATCTAGGGTCAAGTTAAACATAAATAATCCAGGATGGTGCAAATGTTTTCAGTTTTATTCATTTGTAAAAAGTTCAGAAAAATGGCAGAAGTAGTTCTAGTTCTACTGACACTGATAATTATTTTGATCAGTCAGAAAATGAGCAGGAATATATTGAGGATTTAGTATATAATTTGCTTGATAATTTTGGTACATTTTTACATTTCTTATGATAATTGTAAGCAATTTATAAACTCAAACTCAATGAAATAAAATATTTTTATATCATTACGTAGATATTTTAATCTTCTTTTAAAAAATGTATAGGTTTAAATATCAAATAATAATAATAAGGTAGAACGAGAGGTTTAAATCACCTAACCCCAATTAACCTTAACCCAGCTGTTGTTTACATAAATTAATTCTGCACTGCAGGTAGTTAGCAGTGGTAGTTTACTCGGCATGATAAGGTATTTATATCAAAATTGCTTCTGTTTAAAAGATATAGTTCAGACAAAAGTTGTTTTTAATGTTAATATTTAAGGAGCATGTTTCAATTGGGCTTCTTTCAAAGTAAACCTATTTACACTGTCAAGTTGTCTATTGTAATAGTCATGGATTTTTTAAACATGACAGTTGTAGTTTTTATGCCATAAAATAGTTGCCTTGATATATGCCTTGTCTGATATATTCAGTTTTAAAAAGAAATGCAATACCATTTAGTGAGTCGTAGGTGATTCTTCCCTCCGTATTTGTTCTGTTTTGAAGTTGTTCATACGCATTCCTATAAGCATTTAATTAAAAAGAGCAAGCAGTGTTATAGTCAGTATATCAAATTGAATATATAAAATTGATAGTTCCTGGCATTATACGCACTAAATGTAGATTGCTTTTAATTGACAGCGCTTAAATGTAACTTTGAATGAATATCGTAATTATTACATAATTGTAGACATAATTTTACTTTGGAGCTGTCACATTAGTTCTCACTTTGAGATATATTTTTTAAAATTTACTCAGAAATAAACGAATCATTATTATTTATGCATTTATGTTTATAAAATGTTTCATCGTTTACCTTGTACATTCATACGAAACTAAAATAGTCGTTTGAATATGTTTACAATTAATATACTGCAACTGTCGATATAAAAGCTAACATTAACTTTGTCAAATACAAAATGTACAGGGGTTAAGAAAAGTCTTGAATTTCTTAATTATAAAGAATAACTTACGCTGGCAGGGCCACATTACTTATCTCTGTTTCTTGAAACTCAATTTGTTGAGGCTGATAATTCGTCCTGTCTCCTATATTTTATTTACATACATAAAAAATAAACTTTTATACACCTGATGAATGTAGGTGTATTCACAGTATAAAGTTTTGAAGACAAGCGACTTCTGATGAGCAATTTGAACTGTCATTTTGACGAATGAAACAGGTCTTACATTATGTTACTTTTTATAAGAGACATTCGTCATAGATTAAGACGATTAATACATAATTTATTTAGTTTCGAAAATATGAATCCTTGCTCAAACAAAATCAATTATTTACTACAAAATATCAACAAAGTTTTAACAAGTGAAATGTCAGTCATATATCACAATAAATCTAACGGACTACCTGTTCTTATAAAACGTTGATAACACTTTGTTAAAACCAGTCCTAAAAGAATACCAACAACTAATGCGGAAACCACAGCCCCCACTAAAGCAGCCGAAGAAACGCCAGTACCTGCAATGAAAGGATTCTCATCTTAAATATGAACGTAAACATATTTTCTATGCAACCTTATTTCACCTTTCAAAGCCAGACGTTTGAGCCAAAATTTTTTTTGATATCATTGCTTCTAGAATCAACGCTGTTAAAGGTTGCTAATACTTGCTTAACAAGTTGTATTAAATATCATTACTTAAAGACGTTATTGGTGACAATAGCTTGAAAATCCCGATTAATATTCATAGAATAATTCATTTACTATACATAAAGTTAAATAGTTAAAAGAAATAGTAATTCAAAATCGGTACTACTTCTAATTTCCTGTAAGTCTTGTATTAATTTTGTTTCACAACATCTTATCTTATATTTCTAAAACAAAAGAAAGACATAACTTTGTATTTAACATCGGTTGATACCAATACATCCTAGACTATCAACCTGACTTTTGTACACATTCAAACACTCAGAAACATAATATATGAACTAAAATTTTACCAATTTTAGAACTTGTGTTTCCATTGTCTTGCTTAGCTGTAATAGCTGTAATGAAAACAAACGAAGCGTAAAAAACACAACTAACATGCAGAAAAAAGATCTAAAATTCAACAAATAGGTTTGTGTGTACTGCTTTCCTAGTTATCATCAAAGATTTTAACAAGAGCGGCATTATGATCTTGTATCATTAAAACTATGCTAATATTGAAAAAATATTTTCTACAGGTTGTCTTTTTCATTGAAATATCATTTTTTAGTTGACAAAGTACTACCAATCAATGTCTATGTTAATCGATTTATTTTTTAAAAGAAACTTGTTAAGGAAAATATTGCCCGTTGGTCATAAATAACGCCCTGAATCAATGAACAGTTTTACATCCAAAAATCTTAAATTCGGGTAAGAAACTATCCATTTATTTTTGGGAAAATGTTTCTACGTCCCACAAGGTTTTTGACATTATTGGGACTGTTCAACTAAATCATGGTTACCAATTTTAAACTGTCTTTAATATCTAAATTATATCAACTGAAAAGAATGAAAAATAATATATGTACATAAATAGCTATACTATTTAGATCTAATATAGATCACTTACTGACATAAGTGTAGAATCTCGGATTGTTTTCAGATGTGTAAGATTTTCCATATGGATCTCCACTAACTCTAACGTAACATTCGAATGCCAAATTGTTATCCCTGTAAGCATCGACTGTTGTCACGTTGTATCTGATTGAAGCAACTCTAGTATATCCACAATGTTTGTCACTGGTTGCTGTGCCCTCATCAAAGGTACCTTGTGGCGGTTGATAGCCAATAAGTTCATCGCTAGGTGAAGTTTCAGAAGTTCTATGCCAGCGAATAATGGTTGTTGAAAAGCTTCCTATATTAGCAGTACATGTCAGTTCCAACTCATCTCCTACCTCAGTTGTGGCCATGTTTGATGGTGACGTTCCTTCTACTATAAAACCATTCTTCCTTGTTATTAATGATGTCACTTGGGGTTTTACTGGAATATTTACCAAAACCGATCTTCCAACATAAATGTTAATTTTAAAACAATAGAGAACTAGAGAAAATTAAATAAACTCATATTTATTATCAATATATTATTATTATTTATTAAAAGATGATTAGATCTATATATAAAGCCGTACTTATTCCAAATTTGTGTACGCGCTGCATTGTGAAAGATGACACGAAATTAATATATCAAATGATGATGTCTGTGTTATTCCTTTACAGATACATGTTACAATACGTGTGTTTAATTGAAACATTGCTTTAGACACTTCAGATAAAACAATGCTAAAATTTCAAATGCTTAAAAATTTTATTTACATTTCAAATTCTAATATTTTTAAGATGTCATGAGAAAAAACTAACAAAGTTTTTACCATTTACTCAATTCACAAAAGAGATAATACTTCTAATACTTCGAAAATCTATGTTAAACAAGTTAAAGGTCAATGGCCAACATATTCATGTACAAATTTTGATATTTGACCTTATAGTACAAAATTAAGAAAGATTATTTTCATAATGTACGCGTTAAATTACCAATTACCAGTAATTACCTTAGTATAACCCTTACTAAGTATGAAATCACACAGATGAAAGGGTTGTTAATTGTTATGCACGTGGTTTCTCAAAGCGGAAGTGACGTACATATATCCCTATGTAAACTATTGATACCTCATGAAAACGATATTTTGAAGTGTTTCTCTTTATATGGTTTACATTAACGTACATATTGTTGATGAACTTTATTAAACTTGCACTGATGATGACCCATTTGTAGTTTAATGTTATATGTTTTAACTACATCCACCGACAGAATTACCATTTCGCTCCGAAAACGATGGCAATCTCGACGTCCCTAGCTAGCCCTTGTGCGGAATAAATCTTCAATAAGGAAACACTAAATAGATTTTATATCCAACATACAATATCACTTTACTCCAACATTAATATATCTTTTAAAACAACAACAAAGCGATTGAAACCGATTCATCCGATATACTACATGTAGTTGTTTTATGTCACTGTGCAATGTTTTAGTCCTATGTTCGTCAGTCATCATGTACCCAGTTTTCATCTCATTAAACAGTTAGCCTTAAATGTTTTCAAAGTAAACTAAATTAAATTATTTTAGAGTCAAATCGATTCGAGAAAAACATAAAAGACCCTTCTTAAGATTTATGAAAATACAGCATGTGTATCATTTAAAAGTTAATGTCAGGTGAAAAAATATAAATAGCCGTAACCTCGCCTGGTGGGGGCAATGCTCGACTGTTTACTTTCTCTAAAAGCAAACACATAAATGGTTTAAACAAATATTTAAAAAGATATAGTAAAAAAATAATTTAGTTTTTTCCTTTCTTCAATTTTAATAAATAGGTCTAGTCACACTTGCTTTTTTTCAAATATGAATAATTTCCATAATTTTCAATGTTCAGTTTTACATGTGAAACTGTGCACATGGTTCATTTTACATAGCTTTTGATCAAAGGAAATCATAACAGTAGGTCACCTCATCAAAATTTAGGTCAGCTGAATTCAAACTTCAAATTTACATCTAAAACTGTGCACATGCTACAAATCTCATAGCTGTGCATCAAAGGACCAAACAGAATGTCAGTTTGACAAAATCTAGGCCAGCTGATATCAAATTTTAATTTTACATCTAAAACTGTGTCTAAATTTCATAGTTGTATATCAACGGACCAGAAAGAAGGTCACTTCATCAAAATATATGTCAGCTGATATTAAAATTCAATTTTACATCTAAAACTGTACACATGATCCAAAGTCAATAGCTGTACATCAAAGGACAAGAACGTATGTCACTTCGTGAAATGATCTGGGTCAGGTGATATCAAAGTTCACAAGTAAGTAACCTCGTACAATTCTAGGTCAGCTGATATCAAAGTTCAATTTTATATCTAAAACTGTGCAGAAGGTCAAACTTTTATAGCTGTACGTCAACGGGAAAAAGTAGGTCACCTCGTCAAATTATCAAGGTCAGCAGATATTAATCATAGTTCAAAAGTAGGTTTCTTCGTCAAAATCTGGGTCAGCTGATATCAAAGTAAGTTTAACTCTAAAACTGTGCGTACGGTCCAAATTTATATAGACACACTGAAGCTTTTATTAACTTGACCTGGGCGATCAAGGTCAAGTAAGTCAAAATGTCATCAAATTTTTTTAATATGTTTTTAAAGCTCATTCAAAGAATCCGTACGATCTTGTTCTCTGTCTCATTGTGGTTCACGCCTAAATTAATATTTGGAACACATTTTCCACGGTGCATATCCATATTAGTACCCTCTTTGCGAAATCTGCTGAAACGGTACCCTCTTTGAACATGCACAGGTCATTCTCTGCTAAAAACAAACCAGCGATGGATACCAATCCAGTAAAATTTTATTGTAATAAGGAAAGGAGGTATGATACGAAAAAACATGTATACCACGGTACACTAGAATGTTTTATTTATGTCATGTGCCCGATTTTCATGTACTGCAACTTCACAATAAGCTACAAAAAATCGACAAGTCTTGCCTCGCACATCACCTCGACATATTTTTCGGGCTGAAATGAACCTGTGGCTTGTTTATATATGCATCATACATATTTAATATGTTCATATACATATCATCTTCGGACAAATGGCAGTATATTGTCAAAAATAAATGTAAAATTCATAAAAACACCCTACTTTCGGTTTTGCAGCGGCACGGGCTACCTCTCTTCATTTAATTTTTTATATCACATGTACCCTCATTTTTTGAACACATAGGTACCCTCAAAGCACGACATATGATTTTATTTGCGTTAATCGTTAAGTATGAATATGTAATATTTCTTTCTTTTATGTAAATATTACTTATTTAGCGATTAACGTACACAAAAGCATATGCCGTGCTTTGATGGTACCTATATAGTGTTCCGTGGTATACATCTTTTCTACATGACATACCTCCTTTCCTTATTACAATGAAATTTTACTGGATTGGTATCCATCGCTGGTTTGTTTTTAGCAGAGAATGACCTGTGCATGTTCAAAGAGGGTACCGTTTCATCAGATTTCGCAAAGAGGGTACCGAAATGGATATGCACCGTGTTTTCATTCTAATACGAAGTTTTGCAAAAGTACTTTTCCTGGATTGGAACTCTTAGCGCGTACACAATTGTTTCATAAATAAGATCGTAAAATACATAAAATTTGACAGATTCCAGTATAATTCACAATATTTCAATAAATTACAGTCAAAATAATTACCTTTTTACGCAACTTTTTCATTCAAACAGAATAGATGAAATTAGACGCTGAGTCAATATCAACTCCCGATATGATCCTGTTTCACGAAATATTTTTCCCGAAATGAAATCATCAATTAGGATCCCTTACTTTCAAGTGAATTTTTGTTCTGCGACTACATAATTAAATTCCAATATCAAATATAACATGAATTTCGAAAGTGACAAATAGTGTGTGAAACATGCGACAGATATCGTGCAAAAGTGTATAGTAAATTGCAGTTGAAATTACGCAAACGCCGGGGATTTAATTAATACATACTATATATTATTATAGAGCTATGCATTATAAATTCCAAAGAGCTAGTTTCAACGCTGCTTTGCCTTTTTCATATTAAACGATATGTATGAATTAACCGTAAGCTGTGTTTTTAGTTTCAGCAACACCTCCTCGTGTGGAATTTTTATACGACGATTCACATCTATAAGCTCTAGCATCATCGCAAACTAAAATTTCAGTCACTTTCAAACACATTTTGTCAAGTTAGTTGTATTGATGAATTGTATTACAAAGTTACATTATCTTATGGTTATTCAATTTTCTTGTGCAACCCATCTCTTGATATGTATTGAAATATTTTTTATTTTTATCTAACCACCTATTCAAACAAAGTTTTATGAAATGAAATGAAAATGTTTCCAACCTGTCTCAAATATGGACAGGTTTCCATGCATTTTTAAAATCACATAATACATGTACTTACCATATGCTGAGAAAGTTGAA